TAGTAAGAATATGCAGTAAGCTAAGCGAAGAGGTAAGCAAGAGACATGTTAGACTATATTACAACTACTTAACGTGTTAATAACTACTACACTACATTACTACTATTACAAAAAATAAATAAAAGAATTTACAATCAACAATTACTTCAAACAAAAAAACAAAAATAAGCATGCAAAATAAAAATTAAATCAAATTAACTACAAAAAAACATGCAAAATAAAAAATTAATTTGAATAAAATCAACTTAATGAATTCTACTAGATAGAGCATGCAAGATAAAGAACTATTTCAACTACGGGGTCATCTTTGTCTTCTCCAACGTCGATCTGAAACAGATACGGTGGCAAACAGATTAATAAAAAGCAATTAAAATTAATTATATCAAGTATTCTCACCTTCATTAACTGTAACTGTAACATTTCAAAGTTTGCAGATGTGAAGAGCAAACCAAATTCAAATCCATAGCAGAAAATTTGTTGTTTCAGTGGAATTCAAATAAATCTCCAGTTGCTCTTCTCTCTTCGGTTGAAAATTAACTGCATAATGTTGCAAGGCGAAGACGAAAACAGCAAATCAAGAAAACAGTTCACAATAGACCACACCCATGTAGACTTTGGTTGTTTCAGTAAGACCAAGCTGAACATTAATTCTCTCATTTATTGGATAATCTGCAGAAATCGACAAAAAAGACATATTAATTACACTATAAATTAAACACACCTAATAACAAGTACCAAAAAGCAAGTAAAATAGATTGAATTATAAAATGGCGAGAAACGTCACTTTACATCATGACATAGATAAATGTGAAATAATCATAGATGCATAACGTCAATTTATGATGTAGACAATAGATAATTGTTAAATGAGATACCATAGATGTACTGTAGCCGTAACGTCAATTTATACTGCAGACAATAGATAATCGTGAGAATACCATACATTCACGATAACGACAATTTACACTGTGAATAGACAAGTTTTAAAAGAAATACCACAACAGATTAATAAAGAGCAATTCACAATAATTATCTTATGCATTCTCACCTTAATTAATTGCAGAAACTAATATTCTAAAGTCTAAATGTGTAACGAGCAAGCCAAAGCCAGGAGAGATGCCACTGCAATCTATTGTTTCAGCGGTTTCCAAATTAATTTCCAGCAGTCTCCCCCTTCTCATATGTTGGGCAGTCTATAGAAACGGGCAAGAAAAAGTAATTAATTACCACTTTAAAGCAAGTAAATCAATATTATTTTCAAGTAGCAATGTGGTGGTAAAGTTCATTCAAACTGTTGAAAAGAGCAGTTCCACATTACTTTTGCTGTTCTGTTTCTGCCATTTCTGAAACGTTGTTTGAAAGTTGTCTATTGAAAGTAACAAATGGCTAAGAAATTAAAGTTACTGGACCTCATTTACTGTTTTTAATTGATACTAGTACTTACCAATTCATTGTCATGAATCCTTCCTTCAGCAAAAACATACTGTCTTCATTCTCAATGGAAAAAAAATCACTTTCGTGCATTCCCTTGGGCTATAGGTACAGCTACTCCCTGAAACGAAGGAGGACTGATGTAACCAACGGTCTGTAACTTAATGGCATCCAGAATTTTTATAATGTTCCTGTGAAATGAAATTTTATGAATGAGTATTAAAAAATATTATAATCTAGCTTCCCTAGTAAATAACGTGCATAATACAATGTTAAAGCTAATACAAAATAAATGTACTGTATGCTCTCACTAATAATTATAGCATGTATTTATGCTCACCTCAATTATCTGCAAAATTATTTATAGAAAGAACATCACATCGAACAACTTCTTTTACGCTAGCATCAAAACGAACTTCCATGTCCTCTCCGCCTCTCGTTTATCATCGATCTGTAAAAAATTAAGAAGCGAAACTAATTCACAATACTATTAAATAAATAAAACTTTAAATACAATAAAAACACGCATCGAAAAGCAAGTAAAATTGCTAAATTGCAAAATTTTAAAATGGCGGAGTAGCGTCGCTTTTAATACAAAATGGCAAGATGGACAAGAACCGAACGGGATGCATAAAATTCATAGAATTCATATAATTGTGCTGTAGCATATAGATGTGTCAATGAAAGAAAATACTATAGAGCATAGACGGAAAAATGAAACAACCAATATTATTTTAAATTGCGTAAATTAAGTTATAAATCATTTATAACATGTTTTTACACATATAAATTTCGGCAAATCGTACGAAACCGAAATATTAACTTCCAATTACGATTCTATTTAATAGTCATGACCTCATGACCTCGAGGAAGTACATATCAAAAAAAAGAAAAACAATAACTTTCCGAAAAAACCAATATGCACATCGTGATAAGCAATATTTAGTTATAATATTTCCACTGTTGTATGATCGCCAGCAAGAGTTATTACGCATTTTTCTTTTATTTCTTACCTACAAAATGCAGGGCTGTTGTAACGCGACCAATTTGTAGCCATAGATAAGTTCACAATCATAGATAATAAATACACAAAGGTTTCAGCTCATAGATTTATGCAATTTATGGATTGATCTATTAGAGTATATTATTTGGTTGAGCATACGATTTTGCATAACATAACCTGTACTTAATGGCTCTTTAATAAATAAAGTAGGTATAATTGAAATGTTAAAGAATTGTTGTTCGTTTCAGTGCGTTTGTATAAGTAAGGCTTGAGAAATGTTACGTTATTTTTAAAGATCAAAATGATAACTACTCAAAAAACAGGTTTGTGTTTTAATGCAAATAAAATTGAAAACACCATAACAAATGCGAATAAGTAGTTGAGCCGCTAGTTTTATTCTTGGTTATCATGTCTAATTTTGAACACCTTTTCAAGAACAAGGGAGCACTGAAGAGTCAGGAACAAAGAAGAGAGGAGCTTTTGTTATGCCTTAAGAAGTAAGTCATTATTGTACTATGCAGAATTCTTAAAAACTTGCTTGTTTTTCTGTCAGAAGACGTACCGATGCTATCGATGAAAAACGAAAAATCACAGATCTGTTTGAAGATGACAATTCAAACAATGAAAATGATGATCAAGTGGAGCTCCAACGTAATCATAAAATGTGGAGAAATCAACATAAACCTTTCTACAATAGACTGATGTTATCTGAATGGCTCAAAGATATACCATACGATTTGGAACAGAACTGGTTAGTGAAATTGTGCCCTAAAGGTAGCAGGAATCTAGTTGTAGCAGCTCACGTAAGTACTGCAAGTAAATTAATTAACGGGCAATGTAAATATTGAAAATTTTCAGAACATTACTACATCTTATTCTAGACTTGGAGTGGAAAAGTGCACATTTGTGTCATATCTGCCAGGTGGCGGAAATAATATATCAGTGAATGATAAATTCACTGTTTTAGATTGCATCTATGATAACAAACAAGAATGTTATTATGTTCTGGATGTTTTAGCTTGGAATTCTTTGTCAGTAAAGAAATGTGATGTATGTAGGAAACATAATGATACAAATTAGAAAATAAATAGTCTGTTTATGTGTTTTAGGCGGATTTTCGTTTCTTTTGGCTTAAATCTAAATTCGAGGAGAACGACGAATTACAGAAGAAATCGCCGTGTAACAAATACCCCTTCATTCTAATAGACTTTTTTCCTGCAGAAGTGCCACTTATTGAAAACATATTTTCTAAACCGTTCTCGTTACAAGGTAATGAATTTGCAGAGCTCGATGGAATATTGTTTTATCATAGAAAAACGCATTATATTAACGGAATAACACCCCTGGTGGGATGGCTCAAGGCCTACATGCTACCGGAAATGCTGAACATACCAGTGCATGACAATTACATGTGCAAAAAACCTGAAAATTATATAAGCCTCGCACATTATGTTGAATGCAAGAAAAAAATTAAAGTGAAAAATAACAGGAAGAAAATTGAAAGTATGGAGACATAAATTTAATTTCAATTATTCTTATTGCCACACAATATTTTATTGAGTAATTAACTGTTATTCGTTAATGTTTTAATTTGAATGTAGATGAATAAGTTTTAAATGTGAAACCAAAATTGAATTTAATGACGCATTTTATTGTATAAGTAGTAGTAAATAAAATCATCGTAACGAATTCCAAGATCTATTAAAAAAAAAAAAAATAAGGACAGTTCAATTAAATTAAAAAAGAAATGGTAAAACATGCAACTAAAAGAAAGTAAATTGCGTAAAGATTATATTTAATCCTATAAGTACAAGAAATCAAATATTTTTCGTACTGTATAATATAATAGAAGATACGAAAATATAATTTCAATTCTAACACGAAAATTTCCGCTGTTAAAGCTGGTCAACGACAATATATTATTAGTTTATATTTAATAAAAAACGTTTTTTTTTATTTTTCTCTTATCAAGGAATGTTTTGTGGTGTGTAATGTAAAAGTTTTCCCTTTCTTCATTTTAATTGGCACTTTTTTCGTTTACTATTACATCCAAAACTAAATAAATCCACTCCTCGTTTATTCAACATTAGAGAGGGGAGAAAATGTTGACATTTGTTTTTCTTTTTAAATTCAATACAAGGAAGAGGAAAATTATTATTACATTACTAGGATGGTGAAAATGAAAAACAAAAAAAAAAAACGTTTTTACATATGACGGGTATTCCCAAAATTGATTCCCGATTGATTGGCACCTTTGTTACTGCCCATCTGTAGCCCGATAATCGTGCTTCCGGCCTTAAGTTTTTCTTCGGAAAAGTGTCTTTCGTTCTTTTCCGCTTCCTTAGGACCGATACTGGGTTTACCGTAATTTCCGGCCTTAAAAGAAACACAAAAAATTAACACTTGCATCAAAAAGAAAACACGATAAAATACCTTTCTTCCCAAAGACTGAAGACAAATGACTACAGAATTAAGATTTTGCCGTTCCCACAGGTCAACTGTCTGGAACGTTTCCTGAGCGGGGACTCCCAGCTGCCTTGCGGCTTCCAGGAAAGCGTTTATATTTTCCATGCATTTGAACGCCATCGAACTTGTATTGATTTTTTTAACGATACCGGGTTGAATTTCGTTAACTAATCTGTAAGAAAAAATCGCACATCATCTTTTATCAATAACTGATGATAAAATAATTTTTTACCTGCACAGAAGTGTACCATCCTTCAGGACTTCGTAAAAGTTGTCCATATCACCGGCCACGTTTATATTATCACCCGTTAATATTTTGACCCATTCTAATACTTCTTGAGCTAATTCTTCGCTGTATTTCGCGTTAATCTAAAAGAAGATTAATAAGTGGACAAACTAGACACATTTATGTGTGTACACACATAAGTAACGTACAAGTGGTTAGAAATACAAAAGTACAACAAAAAATTCATACAATGTAGGTACTGTTTCGATATTTCATTACTAAAACCAGTCAATACATTATAAAAAAATATTTTTTACAGCATTACAACACCTTATGATTCATCTTATTGATTTCAAAGGACGCGGTCTTGCACCACATCGCACATTTTTAACTCTAAATAAGTATCTAAATATTTAATTCTTTTTTCACTTTTTAGAAATAGTTTTCCACACTATAGTCGTAAAGCGTAAGTCGAACGATAGAAAAATCATCGGTCGTCATCGCAAAGTTCAACAAAACGCCCAATTAGCCGTTTTAAATATTAAACTTTGCCATTCCAATTAAGAATTTCCGTTGAAAACAAACCCAAAATAAAATTACGGTTTCATAAACAATTTTTAAATGTTCCACATACACACCAATATTATTGTCATCATTCTTATTACGATAATAGATAACTTTAAAGTGTGTTATTTGTTATCATTTCAAATAAAAAATATTTTTTATATTTATAACGATGATGTAAAGTTACACAGTTCATACAGTAAGCAGACAATGATAAAAAAACAACAAGTACACATGTACATAGAAGTGGTACCATTAAAACGTTACCATAAATGGCTCTGTACACTTTCAAAAAAAGTACAGTACTGCACTAAAGTTGTTGACCTTTTCGTTTATTATAAAATTACAATCTAACTATTCTTTTTAAGTAGGCACCTGATATGTACATTCATAAAAACGGACACAGAGAAATATAAGGTCCTTATTATAACACAAAAAAAAGTATTATACAGGTACGGCAAAATAATCACGCAACATAGAGATTACTCAATTTTTTGGCGGCATTTTTCTTTTTTTTTATGTATTATTTGGTGTACATGTTTTTTCAACCACTTTTATCTGAAAAAATTAATATGTACAATGTACAGTTCTCAATTCGCCGCTAGTGTATGATGACTTCATACAAAGTGAAAAGTTTTCGTACACTTGATGAATCATTAACGAAGCATGTTGTGTATTTTGTAAGGCTGACCTAATACGTACAAAGTGATTTCCTTTCTACATTTGAATATGCCAATCAACTGCAGAATAATTAGATAACTGTGAATCAATATTACATACTAATATTAAAATTTCGTAATAAACGAAAAATAATTAAAATGCTGGTAAACTGATAAAGAGGAATTTCAACAAAACATGGCACTTAAGCGACTTATTTGTCCAAAATTGGGAGATAGTATTTAAGAGAAAAGTTTAAAAAATATTAGACAATTTAATTACATTTTATAGGACAATGACGTTTGACTTCTTAAAAATGTCCATTACAGATAACACATTTTAGTAAAAATAAATATAAAACCAAAACATAAGACCCTTTACTTCAAACAGGATACAGAAACCATCTAATCGTAAATTACCTAAGCAGTAAAAGATTTTTCTTCAAATAATGTAGATACTTTATATCCGTTTTATCTCCAATCGTAAGCCAGTTATTAGTCTTGGTTTTTTGAACCTGTTGGTGAACCTATTAACTAGGTAAGCATTCACATTAAGATAAGAAAGAAAAAACCATGCACACAAACAACCAAATGTATATACACTAGCGGCGAATTGAGAACCGAACGTAGGAATATTCTGTTGCATTCAGGAACCATCTTTACGTTTTGCCTTACCTGTATATCCGTATCGTTTTTTGTTTGAAATAAGTTGATTTATTTTTGAAGAATGCCATTGCATTGTGTGCATTTTTACTGTTCAATATTTTAGTTTTATTAAGCGTTTGAAAATGAAAAAATGATAAGAAAACAACAAATCGTAATGGAAATTGTTTCAAGTTATGTAAAAAAGATCGTAAGTCCAGAACTTACAAAAAATTAATACAATTCAACACCGCGATTCATACTAATTGAATGATACTTTTGTTACATAACGTAATCACTACAATTGATATTTATTGTGTTGATAATATATAATACATATATATATATATAACGTTGTGTATGTATCCAAATGGTAGATATATAAATGTATATAAATGCGATTTGATAACTTGGAATAAATTAATACGTATACCTATATACAGTTGGGTCCAATAAATTATTACCTCATTGCTTTGCTTTTATCTAATCGGAATAACAAAAAATTTTTAAAATAAATTCCAAACACTAATAACATTACCTTCTATATCTACATAATATTCGGAAAAACGGAAAACCGATGCTAAGTTTTTAAAATTAATTAAAGAGTTTGGATCATACTGTATTACAACACCGAAATACAACTAAAACATTGAAATGTTTCATCTTTCGTGTTATTAGAATTCAAGTAAACAAACGAAATGCTTGGCTTATCTTTTAATGATTACTCTAATGTAAAGTTAAGTGTTTACATTTCCTATTATTAGTAATAAAACTACCACAAAAACTCAATAATTCGTGTTCGTACGGTTTAAGAAGGTTAAAAACAATTGTTTTAGCTACCGAAAATAAACAAAGGCAATTAATTGCTACCATTTGGTTATTAAATTGGGGTAATTGCAGTACTTAAGATAATGTAGCGTATCAAAAGAAAAATCCGAAACATTTTTAAAAATGTAGTCATTTTCATTTCGAAATAAGAGATCGAAATTTAAAAGTGAGATATGAGGGTCTATATGTTTTGTTTTTTTGATTTATGGTAAGAATGTGTAAAAAAAACATTTTTTTCACTGCAGGTACGTAGACCATTGTACCTATCAAAACCTAGGTACCTACTTACCTCTCAAATTTATTGGGAGGCCGAAAAATAGAAATAGAAATTGTCAATTTTTGTCTCTATTTAGTTACGACTTTTTTGAATAAAAAACTAAAACATATACGTATTAAACAAGAGACAATTAATTATCTACAAATGTTTATTATCGGAATTGTTATAGTAATCTAGCGAATTATTTCAAGGGTAATTCATAATTTCGATTTATAATAACACCTAGTTCGCCACTATTGTATAGATAGCTACCTAAATAATAAAATAACAACAGGTAGATACCTATAATAGTTCCATGTATCTATTTATGAACCTATGTAATAAAAGAAAAGGGTTAAAATACTTTTCCTCAGTCGAAATAGAACAAAGGCCGATTTGACCTATAAAAACTACCCACTTTATCGATTAGATTTGCTGCCGCCGCGAAACTGGAACGGGGTGGAAAAGACGAAAGGTCAAACGTGGACCTTGTTCTTGTTTACGTAGCTCATCATCGGGCGTCGATCATTCTTCATTTTTTTTGGGTGTGGTTAGAAGACAACTTAAGTACCTATAGCTACTTAAATTTTTTTCAATTATGTACAAGTATCTATGACCGTTTAGGTACTTGTCAGCTCAAAACTAACGACCTTATTCGGTATTTATTTTTTTCACGACTTTTGCATTTACGTAGTCGGTATATATGTACATATATGAAATGTGCATGACTTCTCACGTATGTATATGTACGTTTGAAGAATGACTCTGTTTGCGATTTTATGACTCAAATTTCAATTATTCGATGAATAATTTTCTATTGGCTTAAAATTTACGTTATTTTATCGTGTCGAAGAACTGGTTTTAGTTTTTACAAGATTGCTAAACGAAATATTAATTTAAGAATTTAGCAAACGCAAAGCATATAGAGTATACATATATGTATATTACCTAACCACCTGTACTTACATATGTACGTACCCAGGTGCAGAACAGATATTCATTCTATAACGAACATCTACAAAATAAAACCTATTACGACATACCTTTCTTTGGGCCTCTGCGGCAAATCCACTTTTGGTAGCTCTGTGCGTTGCCATTTTTTTATTAGTGGTTCGTTCTTCGGAAATCACTGCACCACAGTCAACAAAAAAAAAATAACAAACGACGACCCTCGTTCGTTATGATACTACGATATTATGCCGTCTAATAATTGTTGCCGTGCGCGTATTACTGAATCGTCGATTGGACAACGTGTGTTGCCGATTCGTTCGCGGGAAGTTTACACCAAGTAAAGTAATATGTCGCCGAGCGTGCGTCCACCAGTGGTTTGAAGACTCGAGGACTCGAAACGAAACGACGATAAAAGCTGCTGGTTATAGTATACCAAGTAACCAAGTTGTTATTATTAAGTCGCGTCTGCTATGCACGAACTCGCCCCCCAACCCTTCCCCCCTGGGACCCCTTCCGACGAAGACCGATACAAGAATTGTTGAGCACTAGCCTTTCTTACTTATTATTATTACACACGTTTTGTCCAGGTGAGAAACCAAGGTCGATTCTCTCGACGACGACTATGACCTCTGATGATGACGAAAGCAAAAGAAACGGTCGTGGTACTCACGATAAATCTCGATTAATAATCTCAAGTGTAGAATAGGGGACGAACTCAGAGAAAAAAAGGGCAGAAAAAATATTACGCAGTGCGTTACAGCACAGAAACTAATGAAAAAACAATTTTATTCTACTGTTTTTTTATGCGGAAACTTTATATTACCATCTAGCCGCCAACGAAACGTTCCAAATACATTGCAGCCAATTTAGTGTGGAATGGGTGTATGCGAAACTGCTGCAATGTATTTGAAAACCTCTTTTTCTGGCTGGAGTGCAATCGCGAAGTTGTTTTACATTACAAGTCAGAATAGCAATTTTCTACAGTCCGTCTCTGACCAAGCTCATTAACATTTTGAATTGTGTAGACAGAATGTTACGTAACAAGTATAAATGTACGTAAATAAGTTCAATTAAAGCATGAATCATCATACAGAAGGAGTCTACACATGTAGCTGTTGAATTTTAGGAAAACCTTGAAATTACTGAACGTTTAGGTATAAAATGCCTTTACTTATAGTTTCATTAAATTGCAAAAAACATCGCGTAATAGTAGAGATATGTGCCATAAAAGACTTACATTTCGGTGGCCATTTATGGTGTATTACGAGCAGCTGCCTGTCCTAAATAGCATCGTAAGTCCAAGAGTAATAAGTTTCAATCCATACGTGGCACTTTGGTCTCGAAGTTACATAGATGGTCAAATAGTACTGGAAATAAAAAAAAATCTGTGTTACTCGACTAAAACTAAATCATATGCAAGCAAACGAAAAAATTTAAAAAGCTGTGATTTAAAATTTATCAATAAAAATAATACTTATACGCCCATGAATGTCATTCACAATATAGGTACAATATCTAAAATTTTGAAACCTTTACAAATAAAATTCCAAAAATAATTACACATAAAATGAAAATACAGAAAACTGCCCACATAAAGACAAATAATATAAATGAAGTATTTACAAAAATTTTATGTTAATCCGTGTATTGTTAAAGGAGTTCTACATATGTGGTTTTCGTCAAAAGAAATTATTGTTATCGGAAATGAAGCAAGCGATATCGTATATATAATTATGGTTATTTTCTGGTAGATGGATTAGCGATAAGTAATTCAATTAATTTAGATTTTTACAAACATAAATTGATAACAGGTAAGTGGATGTGTAATATCAGAAGAGATAACAGAACGGTAACAGAAAAATATGTTCTTGCAACTGTTAACATTTTTTTTTTAATGTATATATATAAAATGCCGTTGTAATAACAACCGAAATACAACTGTTATCTCTTTGTAATTATGTATATTTATCGGCTGATATCCGATAGTCCCGTGATCGTCGTCGATGCCGTCCGCGGGAACTCCCGAAATTCCTTACTCAAAAACGGATCATGGGCGGCTCGGGATCACACTAAACATTCACTTTAAAAGTGTTTGCAACATTTAACTCCCGCATCTTTCACAGCCCTACCTCTATGCTTTAGCAACAGCAATACTATACATATCTAGTTTTATTTCTACGAATTAAAAATTTCCAATATCCTTTGTTGTTGCAAATTGTTCAAGGAATTGTTTGTATTAAGGCACAAATAGTAGATGTACGTGACTTTTGAAAGAGATCTGAATATTTGAATTTGATTGGCATGTACATTTTGGCGATTGAATTTGGTTGGTTAAAAAATTATTACGTATGAATGGGAACGAACAGTGATAGCTATAAACGGGAACAAATGCCTAGATCAGGGAACTTGTGTGTGGACATTGATCATAATTAGTGAAATAATAAAGGGAACTGAACCACATACAGGTAAGGCAAAAATAAAAAGTTATGGGGGTTGAAAGTTGATTATTTTGACAATTTTCATACACTATAGTTCAAATAAAATTCAATAAAATAATTAATATCAAGCGGGTGGAGGTGGGGGATCGGAAGAGGGTGGTCACTTGAACAAAACCCGATAACCTAACCTAACCTACCCTATTGATAAAGATATCTAAATAATGTTTTATATAACTTTCTCAATATTTTTATGTATTTTTCATTAGTTTTACCTTTGAATATTGTTTAAAGAATGACTATATAAATATTTGCATGCCTAGAAATGTATAAAAATTGGCATATTTATTAACTTTGAACCCCCATAACTTTTTATGGTACAGTGGTGAGGGAGACGTCCACTTTCGATCCCCCCCGATGGGGGGAATCATCTAGCCATCATCTAGACCTTTTCCAAAAGCTGAAATTCTAACGCCAAAATACGACACTGGAGTACTTTTCGCCAACAAAGTTGTCAAAAGAACTAGCTCTGCTTATCGAAAAGTACTTTGTGTTTTCACGTTCGGGATTCAGCTTTCTATATACAGTAGAACCTTGATAACATAAACCTCGAGAACGTAACGACCTTTATAAATTCATAAAATTTTGTGTTCCCTTCCCCTCGGAGTCCAAAACCCCTATTACTTAAAATAAAAACCCTCTATAACTTAAACGAATTATTTGGGCATTGAAGACGAAGAATTGCTGAATTGCCTAATCTAGAAAAATGCTTGTTTATATGGTTTAGACAGTGTATAAATATGTAAAAACATTAGTGTTATGGACCTATACTAAAGGAAAAAGCTGAAAAGTTTACCAAGTCACTGGAAATCCATTATTTTAAAGCTTAAACTTAAACCCTTAGTAAGTAAAAATCTCAATAATTCAATTATTTTACGTTTCCTTGGTCTTTATCTCATTAAGGTTCTACTGTATAATGTCTTCTAGCTTCACATTCATACGTTACATTTCCCAGATCGACATTCACCCTGTGAGAATTATGAACAAATCAACCACCAAAACTTCTAATCTTGGAGGGAAGAGTATTGTTCATAACCTACGCAAGTTGTTTCCGAAGGAACATAATAAGAACTTGAAAAACGTACATCAGGAAACCTCAATTAGAATACCGAGTCGTCTGGTGACCAAACATGAGGAGGCACCACCTGATATTGATGATATAATAGAAGATATGGTACAATCCGAGCTGCTACAAGTCGTAGCAGAAGTTCATGATATTCCAAAGAAGTACAGAACACCAGCGCAATTGTCACTCAAAAATGATAATTCCATTCACGAAAATCCCGGTTCTGTACCGATCTCCTCAGTTACTCCCCCTTCCTATTTTGTCAAAAATACTGAGCCACCTTCAACAGTTTCGATTGGAAAAATAAGTTTCAAAACCGATTTGTCTGGTTGTAAACCTATAGAACCTTTAAAAAATCCATCTGCTTTAGAAAACGCACCTCCAACCCCTAAATCACATACGGGCGAAACGGCTGAGGACATCGCCACTATTCGGGTCACCTTGAAAGAATTGGCAACATCACTATCAAAAGTTGTTAATAAAATGAACATCATGGCCCACTCACTTAAAACCCTAACAGTGAATCTTGGTGAAATCGACACATTAGTGCATCAACACTTTAACCCCCCAGAGACCCCTGAAGACGAAGATGATGCTTGGCTAATAGTTGAAAGCTCTAACCAAGGTTAGATGTTCAAATTAAAAACTAAAAGCAATACCTACATACATTCCTAATGAAACTAAAGTATCTTTCGTCTTTTATTTTGTGGTTTTTTCTATCTTTTTTTTGTTGTAGTTACTATTAGAATTACGTTTTATTTGGGTTACATTTAGAAGCAGTACAAGTACAATAGCAGACAGAGTTTTGGTTAAAGATTCGCAGACATACATCAATAAAATATAATAACAGGCATACGTATAAAAAGCTCATTGATTCAATTAAAATGTCTTTTAATAATACAGGCTTCACATATGACACCGTTATTACACCAGTTTACTAAAAAGGGAATGTGATGCCATGATGCAGAATACTTACCACTTTATTTTATTCGGAAAATAATATACCCGGGTCATTCAAAAATTTTTTAGAGACAAGTTCGAAAAGAGCAAAGTTTTCTTGAGAGTTATTTTCAACTGAATTTTTTCTTACTCAAACAATAGATACATATGTATATGTAAGTAAGATAAGATAAGTACATTTTTATGGTTTGATGCTTTTCTATTTTCAAACATTATTATTTGGGTATATATCGATTTTTTCAACCTTGAATTTTGTCATCGGCCATGTATGAATTTCGCTGTAAACCGTTTACATAACACAGAAAGATTAAGAATGATGTCATAATAACGTTTTTGGTTGTTATTATGTTTTAAGTAGCGTACACATGGATGCCTCTTGTATAATACATAAATAAAGTAAATAAATGTAAGTACGAGTGTTATTATTATTATTATTAAAAACAGACCGTATTTGTTATTTGTCACGTTTAAAAATAGAAAACATTATATGGATATGGAATTCATTTTAACCCATTAATAAAAGAGATAATAATAAAAAGCCAGACGCTATACAGTTGCCCTTACAGAATTAGTCATTTTAATTACAAGGGAGCCCCAAAAAGTTGTGCACTAAAAATACATCTGGGAATCAATACAAAAGTGTTTAAGATGATATTCCAAAATATATTTTACGATTGTGAAAAAATAGGAATTGGGTAAAGGTCTAGATGATGGCCCCCACCCCCTTGGGGGAGAGATGCAGGGTATTGAAAGAGGAGGTCTCCCTCACCACTACCATAAAAAGTTCGTGGTGGTCTCACCCCCATAAAAAGTTATGGGGGTTCAAAGTTAATAAATATGCCAAATTTTATACATTTCTAGGCATGTAAATATTTATATAGTCATTCTTAAACAATATTCAAAGGTAAAACTAATGAAAAAATACATAAAAATATTGAGAAAGTTATATAAAACATTATTTAAATATCTTTATCAATAGGTTAGGTTAGGTTAGGTTGTCGGGTTTTGTTCAAGTGACCACCCTCTTTCGATCCCCCACCTCCACCCGCTTGAAAATATTTATTTTATTGAATTTTATTTGAATTATAGTGTATGAAAATTGTCAAAATAATCAACTTTCAACCCCCATAACTTTTTATGGGGGTGAGACCGCCGCAAATTTTTTATGGGGTTTTACTCAGGTGACCACCCTCCTTCGATCCCCCTACCCCCGCCCCCATCTAACCCCCTTAACTTTTTATGGGGGTGAGACCGCCACGAACTTTTTATGGTACAGTGGTGGGGGAGACCCCCTCTTTCATTCCCACCCACCCCTTCTAGACATTTACCAGGAATTGTGTAAAAACGAGTTAGGGTGGCCCAAATAACGTCCTACATGTGAAACAGTTTAATTATTGACTCTGATTATCGGGTTTCGAAGGGGAACATTGTAGGGTTACGAATATCACTAAAATAAGAATAAAAAAAAATCGTTTACATTCGTTTGCTGTGTTGAAGTGCATAATAATACATAATCTCCCAATTAACATCGCGTATTGTACATTATAGACAACCAACTGTTTTTACAAAAATGGCAAATTGAACTAAGGTCCTATCGGCAACAAATATGGACCAATAAGTTGAATTTGCGATACATATAAGATCGCACATTTACTTTCACCTTGCTGGAACAGATGTTTATGTGGATTATTGGGTCAAATTAATGCTACAACGTCACCCTGACCTTATTAAAGTGCATTCGCTGCATTATTTAATTTTTTTTTGAGGAAGTGACTGCACCATACATATGTGAAGGTTCAAAATGTTAGGTGTATGTTCTTAGACAAATAAAAGCATACCAAAAAACAACTGAAAACTCATTATTAAATATAACTGTGTATACAATTAGCTGCAGCTGTTTTCTCCAAGTTTAACTTAATTGCAAACATAAATCACTCTAATGACTCATTGGCATAATGTTATTAAAGAATTATGCATAAAGAAAAATTATTTAAGGACATTAACGAAAAAGTCAATAATATAAGATAAAATTAAAATATTTGTTTAATCATTTTTGGGAATGAAATTGGTGAACGACTACGAAAGCCTAACGTGTATTTGACCGAATTTTCGTTATTTGGAGATATAATAAAACGTTTCAATTTTACTTTGCCCACGATTTCAAAGTGCAGAGAAAATTGAAACTATTTGTCCTTTTATAACTTTGTTTTGAATTGATCAGAAACAGACGGTCGCGATGATCCCATTTAACAATCATATCGGAAATCGGAGACGAACCATATGTGACTCCTGACTCCTGACCTGCTATGGCCTCTTTTAATTAATAAAATGGATTTTATAAACTCGCCCCGATGGTCCGTACTTTTTTAAAAGTTGATTCGACTTTAATTTCTACACAAAAAGTATATTTTTTTCTAGAAGAATTAACAATAATTAATTTAGGTACCGCTCGTTTTGTGGTTTGAAATTTGTGACAGTTACGGCATGTTTTGTTAAGATCCCAAAATATGTATAAAAACAGTTTTAAAGGTCACCCGTCACCACCTTAACAACCATGATCTTTTCATGAACTGTTTTAAAAGTACTTATAGACAAATTAGTTGTTGATTGATTAAAAAAATAAGAGTCACTCACCAATTGTAAAAGTGAAGTCCCATCGCCGATTTGGCAAGTTTTCTTCGTAGCTGAAAAGATAGAATAACATTATTTCTAATAAGTTACCAACTAATATTATGTATAAAAGAAATTATAAGTGTTGTCAGTACAGGGCAAAGTGGTATTACGTAGTTAGTATTAGCAATTTCTTATGCTAAAGTGTACGATGTGTTGCATACCTATTTACAAACAATTCCTTTAAATTTAATGTTTCAAACAATTTTTAACACAAAGAAGTGATTAAACAAATTGTTCACAAAAGTGAATTTCGACCACTCGAAGCAGTGGTGCTAACAGGACTGATAGGGGGGAAGAACTTGTTCGTTAGAATTTTTTTTGAGCTTTGTTTTAAAATGGCACTCAAATTAGAAAAAAAACACGAAAAAATACGAGTATTTATTTAAAAAAGTAATAGAAGATTAAATTGTGGTCGATTCCAAGTCAATTTAGAATTTGGTAATTTTTAAAATCCAACATCATGTGATTGTAAGACACCTTGTACAACATGGTATTAACGTTAAAAAAGTTAGATGTGTAAGGTTAAAAATCAAGGGTACCTTTATGCAATTTAGAATACACTTTCTATCGTTTAAGATTTCACCCCCAATCCGTTCTCCCTTCGTCTTTCATAGAACGTGTGGTTATTTATTCTCCAAAGAAAAACGCTGTACCTTCAATCAGAATAGGGAACGTATACAGTACTGGAGAGTTTACAACCGAATATAAGGGTATTCTGCTACATGCAAACATCAAATGGACGGTAAATCATTGGAATAAATTTATTATTTTATTGTTTATATGAAAAGATTTGTACGAATTTACCTATACCGCGTAATGTTTTTCTAAAGATAACGCCACCCTTTGATGACTGTATGTAATGTGCGATTTTCAATTCGCCTGTACTGTATATGTATGTATAATGTAGCTGGTGGTCGCTAGCGCCACCTGGTGCCTTTATTGATCCCAGACGCAGTCGTGCCAGACTATACGACGCCGAGCGCCACGACGAAACGACGACGGCGTCCCGACGTGGTTTTCTGTTTTCAGACATGTGATCGTAGGCCGACGGTGAGCATCGAAATCGTTATTGTTGTAGCCCCCGCGCCATGGGAAATGGCATGAACAAGGCAAGACCAAAAATCACAATTTATCATCGTAGCAAAAGATAATAACAATAATATTGTTATCGCTTCCCCTTTCAATAAAAAAAAAAAACACCATCATCGCCAGCCACCAGCATCATCGTCACATATTATCATTAGCCATTATTTATCAACATCGCAATAACAACTCTTCCCCATTCTTAATTTATCCAACATACTTTTACAAATCCATGATGCTTTCGCTGTGCATGTTTTCAATTGCAATAATAACAATTAGACGCAAAAATTCAAGTTGAATAATGTTTCCCACTTAGTTTGCTATTTTATGTACCTATAGCTCTTTGTTTAAGAATGTTAAAAAATGATCCAATAACAAGCCTAGATGATGATGATGATGATCTATTATTTTTTGTTGTGGTGAAAAAATGCTTTAATTTGAATAAGTAGAAAATTCACTATAATTACGGCAATTTTTTTAAGCACCAAATTAAACTCTTTATTTTTATTACGATTATTAGAAACAAGCATATTTACTTAAAAATATTATCGTTACGGTACTGTTCATTTTTAGCATTCCTTTTCGTTCGTGACCGTTCAGGAGTGCCCCATTAAGAGAATGTTATAGGGAGGAGTAAAAAATCGAAGTTGGCTTTTTACAATACATAAAATTATCATCAGACAGTGACAGAATGAAACAATTTCAGTAATTAAAACTCTTTTTAAGTCATGTTCGCTTTTATGTGTGACGGTGACACTTGTAGCAGCCTAGATGACGACAATTTTAAGTTTGGTTGTTCAAAGGTACTTAATAACAATTTATTATTATCGGACGTACGTTGTATGTACGAAAGTTCGCGTTATTTCCGGTGCACGTGAATTACCTCCGGCCGTCCGCTACACCAAAATCGACCGCAATTTTTTAGAAACAAGCGTTACATTAATTATGCCCACTGGTGGATATAATTATAAGGTGACGCGGACGATATGCACCCTTTATCAAACGGGCCCGTAACTACAAAAATTAAACGTTAATTACGAATTTTATAGATTATTTTTTAATTAATATTTCCTATATTTTATCCTCTGTATCCAGGTTTTACCCGGGCTTTATGTGGGTAACTACAGGGATTCCAAAGACGCCTCGCAACTAGAAAAACACCACATCACGCACATCTTGGCCATTCACGACACCGCCCGAAAACTGCATTCCGTAAGTGACAAACTGTTTTTTTGCATCTCACTGTACATGTATACGAAATGGAATTGTTATCGTCATAAGATTTCACATTATCACCTATACATATTTTAAGTTTATTCAAAGTCTTCTCGAATTATCGTTAGTGTCAATTTGTTAATGTAAATATTTCACGTAAAATTAGTGTGCGCCATTACCGAAAATAGGGGAACAAAAAACCCATTAAATATCGACAATGATTCCAAGAACGTCAACGTTTTAGTTTGATGAACTTGATTGATCGATAATGCTGCATATTTTGTTTGCTAGGGTTGAACTCGGATCCGTTTACAATTACGTATATATTACAATGAGACCCGCTCTCATTATAATTACAACATAAATCAAAGCAAACAATCAGAATGTACATAAATTACAATCTTATCATAAAAACTTCATTAAGCACCCGGTATATTCATCAAAAGAAATTAAATCTCACAGACATCTCAATTTTCAGTGAATGCGAAGCAGATTTCAGCATAGAACTGCAATTAAGAAAGCATCTTCGGCTGCTTTTTTTTGCAGATGCAATTCAGAAAAATAGAACGCGCAGTCATCAGCAAAGGCATAAAACGGATCACGAATCCTTTTGAGAGAGCCCTCGCTAGGCCCTTTAGGCAAAAGCAAGCCGAATGAAGTGATACTTGTGTTCAAAAAGGCGGAGCAAATGATGAACTTCTACTTTTGTTAATTAAAATACTTGACTAGAGATTTTAAAAATAACTGACGCATTTTCATCGCAGCATTCACGTCCAATTAAAATATCGCAAACTTCATTAAAAATGATATTCACGAAAATTAACGATCTATTGTACTATTATATTACATTATTTAATTTAAGGATAAACACTACCTGTGTGTTATGGCATCCGATTCACCTGATCAAAATTTAACCCAGTATTTTTCTCTCTGCAACGATTTCATTCACGCAGCTCGATTACGAGATGGTAATGTTTTAATTCATTGGTAAGTTTTGTACTCCATATTATTAGACAACTTATTAAACTTATTTTACAAAAAGATAAATTTAAAAGTATACCTTTTCGGTACGCGACTCAATAGATTTGTTTAAAATTGAGCATAATGTTCCATCTACCGGCAGAGTCATTAAATTGTAATGTTTATTGTTTATTAAAAATTCACCAACTGGTGTGCACGTAGGCAACCTGAATACTCTTACGTTTAACTGGAAGTGTGTACGCACAATTGGTAAAATATTGTAAATTAAGTAATATACAAGGGTTATTCAGAAAGTATAAACAGTTTAACTATTGTTGAGGCAATTAATTATTTAACAACATTAATGACGTCAGAACACGTTATATGCCATTAAGAAAGAAAATTTTATATGAAAATTGAAGGAATTTATCTTATAAATAATTTAGCTAGAGCAGTAAAATTTTAATGTTTCGTGCATAAATTTTAATCAAAAACGTTTTCTAGCTTAGCAGGGATGTCCCGCAGTGTTACTGTAGCCGTAGCATACATTATGTCGGTGACAAATTTGAATTGGAAAGATGCCCTTAAAGTGGTACGAGCGGGTAGGGCGGTTGCCAACCCTAACCTGGGCTTCCAAAAACAGTTGCAAGACTTCGAAACATCAAAGCTGTTGGAGGTAATTCGGGTCAGGGTTATTTACGATCGATTTATCTTTTGTTTCACTTTTTAACTATATACGAGGCGCACAGAAGAAGTACCGACAATCAATCGAGAGAAATAGATGAGTTTTCGTTTTTTAGGAACGAAGAAGATTAAAAGAGCGATATCCCAGCTTGGCCTTAGTGAAACAAGATGAGGAACAGTGCTCTGTAATGCTGAATAATTATGAAAAATTATTATCGACTCGAGATATTTGCGAAGGTCGCTGTTCAATGGGCGAAAAGTGCCCAGCTGGGGTCTGTCGAATGCCCACGACCAAAAGAAGCAGACGACAAAGCAGCACAACAAGCGGTAACAGGAGCCAATCAGAAACGTCCGTTACAAGAAGTTCCAGTACCCTAAGTATTCGTCCGAAGTCTGGTCCAGCAGCATTACCAAGTCATACAAGTACGCCAATGCAAATACAAGAGGGTGTATCAATAAAACATTACACAATTTATAGATTCTGCACCAGCATCGCGAAGTGGTTCGCGTTTGGACCTGTCAGCTAGTGGTACGGGTACCCTTACTGCTCCAAATACACCCGCCACTACCCCTCCAGTTTCACCCGTCCGACTCCGAGGAAGAAGAAAAATAAGTAGTCCCGCCACCCTACAAGAAGTACCTGGATCATAGTACAACCTTTGTCCTTTACAACTATGAAGAACATGTATTGACCATCATTAATTGGAAAATAAGGTAACCGAAGAATCTATGATCAAAGCAACTTGAAATATGTGAAACTTATTGACCGTACCTTGTATGTAGGTACAGTAAGGTGGGTCGCAAAAAGTCAACTGTTTTTGAAATATTTCTTTACAGATTTGAAAAAACAGAACCAAATTGTTTGCTGTAACAAGGAGTCGCATATTAGAGGCTGTGTATTAAATATATTACCAATGTAGATGCATGGAAGGTTACTGGCAGCGGTACCGACAATTAAAGTTTAGTAAATTTAACAAAAATTATAAACGCTGGTCGTTTATTAGGTTAAAGAGTAGCAAAAGTACTTTTTTAACAGCAATAATATTACAAATTATTTAAAAAGGTGATTAAAACGTAGCCGATGTATGCTAATTAAAAAAAAAAAACGCAAAACTCATCGTCAGTATACAGTTGTTAAAATACGAGGGGTGTTGCAAAACTCCCTTCGTCTTT